CACAAGAAGATGTCAGAAGTTGAATTTTAATTGCAGCTTTGACGGAAGAACTTCGTATCATTGAAGGTCCTTCTACGAGAGTCAAGCTCACCATGTCGAGTGGGTCATCTCCCCTGACTCAAGTTGTCGTGTTTTGGTCTTTTAGCGGCATTGGCTAGAGGAAAATAAATCCCCTTGCCCCTTTCTAGACGTATGCTTTATCATAACATGCATCACAGATCCTTGAGATCCTTGAAATGGTTAAGGAAATGATATGGTATGATGTTATGATGTGTATGTCATGCATCAAGCAAAAATGCAGGGTGATGAAGACAAGTATGTCTTGTAAGAAAACCAGTTTATTGGATAATGACTATAAATAAATCCTATAAGGAATTCAAGTTGTTAGATAAATGAAGACAATCAAGTCACACAAATAGTGTTAGGTTCAAAGGCTTGTATGAGGTTTAAAGGTACGTACCCTCTTGAAGTTTAGTTGGTTCAACCTGTCTTAGAAAAGTAATCGGGTTCTAAGGAGTCTCAATATCACTGATCTTTCTTTGTCGAGCGTTATTTCAGCTTATCAATCTTTTCTTGCGGCCGAAACATCTCGAAAGTCTGATCTCAATGAGTGTAGCATCGAGTAACAACCAATCCCAAGCTTTACACTGAGGCCGGCTATATCACTACTTTCTAATGGTCAAGTTTGTTCAACTAAGGTTCTAAGGTCTGTTAGTGCTTCACGACACCACGCGGCGGCCCCGTATTCTCTTCAATTCAAAACAAGGAATACCAGTACCAACCAAAGTGTCACACCAACACAGCTATCGCTTCAACCATATCGGTCTATGTCGTACAGTCTCCACGATCTATTGTTGTTTACCTAAAAAGATGCCCCCAGATCCGGATGTAGGATCTATAGTAATATCCCAAATAACCCTTCAAGTATAAAAGCATACAAAGCACAAAAAAGCAGTTTAATAATGAACTAAATCTAAGGTAAACCCCACTTTTTATTTTTCCCCAACAGAGTCGCCAGTTCTGTGGTACGGTGGCAGAACCGACTGTTTAATACTGGGTTTTTTTTTGTATTCGCAAATGTTGCGGTAAGTAAGAGTCGCCACCGACTTTTCTTTTAGCCAAATTAAGGAAAGGGTGAAAAGAACAGAAAAATACCTTTTTCGAGATTATTCTGAGTAAGGGGGTAGATTATAGAGAGGGAAGGTGTTAGCACCCTTTCAATCCAGAGTTATCTACGGGCTTTTAGAGGTTTGCTCATTTTGAAATACCTTTGTGATTTGTGTGTTTTGAAAATGTTTAGAAAATACCTTAGTGCGGAGATTTGCTTTACGTTAACTCTTGTATCAGTTCTCAAGAGTGTTAACAAAGCAAATGTTGTTGAATTTTTTTTTAAAAGTAGTATTTGTGTAAGTGCAAAATGTTTTGAGAAAACTTCTAACAACTATCTACTTTGTACTCGAAAAGGTAGTTCTTTTCCTCCTATCCTTTAGACAGTGCTATCCCACTATTAGTGAGTAGGTAGCCCTATCGTTGGATGTATCAGGGACATTTGAAGGGACGTTACCGTCACGAAGGCAACTTGTGGAAACGCTTTAGCAATTTTGTTTAGGGACTAGATTATTTACCAAAAAGGCAACTGTAAGGTCATCGAGGGACTATGATCTTTTGATTTATGGGTCTTTGCTAAAGCGTTCCTGCCTCATGATTGTTTTTATTTCTGAAGGCAACCAATGTGGGGTACCCTAGAGGTGTATATGTGTGAGTGTATTATGTTCAGTTATTTTTTTGTCTTTTTGTTAAATTTGCTAGCATTTGATTATTAGTCTTATCATACACGCCTAATTACTAGCAGTTAATATATATTGCAGAATATTAAAGTGCAGGAATTTAAATCTACGCTATTACAATGCTTTGGGGAGGGGATTTACACTGTACAAGAATGAGGGAGATAAAGCAGTAAATATCATAGTTTTAATCAATTACATCCAGTAGGCAGATACAATAATAATAAAAATGTGAAACTAAATAAACGCGCGTGAAATTGAAAATAACATCTAAAAATATCCTAAAAAATAAAAATCTTTTTTTTATGTATAAAAGAAAATAAAGCCTAAATATTTTTAATTTTAATTTTAAGAAAGATGTTAAAATAATTAATTAATTTATTTACAAAATTAATTTAATTAGAAAAAGACACTAGCCTAATGTTTTTTTTTGTGATTTTGATTTAAAGTTAATTTAAATAAAAAAGGATCAATAAAGAAATAACAAAAATAAAATATGAAGGAGTGAGGGGATCCTTCGATCCAGGGAGAATCATGGCTTCGATTTAGAGGGGAAAAAAGTTGCCTTTGATCCAGAGGAAGGTGGCTTTCAACCTAGAGGAAAAAAGGGTAGCCTTCGATCCAAGGAAGGATGTTTGTCCTTCGACCCAGGGAGAGATAATTGTCTTTCGATCCAGGGGTGGATGCTGTGAGGGCACTGAATCTTCAAAGGTATGTTAGCCAAAACGAAAAGTATGACTTGGGTGCCAAGCCCAAGTCCTTAGATTTTGTACGCACTAGCCTTATTTATGTTGGATCTGTGACAAGCGTTAGAAGCAAAACAAAGGCAGACCTGGGGTCGAACCCAGGTTTTTAGTCTTGAACAACAAATCGAATGAAACTACAAATGTTGATGTGTCATGCAAATGTAGAGACTGATCTTTTTACCAATTCTTACCAATGGTTGATGGATGAATATGTGATGATGGATGTGGGTACCCTTGTTTGATGATTACTTCGATTTGGCTTTTGGACGTGGGTACCTTTGTTTAAGGGTTGCTTTGATTTGGATCACTTATGAGATTTTTTGATAACTTTGGTGGGTTTATGAGGCAGCGTATCTCCAATGTGTGTGTAACTGACCATTTGGCTTGCAAGCACTCTGCTTATATAAAGTAGAAGGGAGGGGACAAGAAGACAATAGTTTAAACTGCCATAAACAAACGTTTTCAAGGCCATGAATGAAGTTTTGAAACGTTGGCCAAAAATATGGGATCTTGTCCTTTTTTGAAATTTGAATGTATGTGGACATTTTGGCTCTTTCGAATGCCCCTAGTGTTGCTCTTCGACTGGCCTCAAGTTGCCTCTTTCGACTGGACCTCTTGTGTAGCTTTCGATTGGGCCTTCTGCATACTTCTTCAAATGTACCTCTTGTGTACCATTCGATTGGCTCTAGTATTACTTCCTTCAAATAAGTCTTTAGATGGTCCTTTTGGTGTTCCTTTCGAATGGGCCTTTGGTGTGTCCTTCGCATGGGCTAACATGCGTATTGAAGTGTATACAATTGTTTCAAAGGGGGATCAGCGCCCAATCGAAACTGGCACCAAGGAAGCTTATGCCTTGTGGATGCTAGCATGAAGCAAGTCAAGACAGACGTATATGAGGCTATTGCCTAGGCGAAGCTGGTACAAAGGTGGTCAGTGCCTTGTGGTCGAAGGCAACTTTTTTTTGCCTGGCGCATCAAATAAGCTTTTTGCCTGGTGGATCGAAGGCAACCCTGAAGGAGTCTTGGCCTTGTGTGCTGAAGGCAAGCTGAAGAGGCATACATGCGCTGGTGACATGCTGAGGGGTCTTTTTCTCAGTGAATCGAAGGCCAATTGAAGGGGCCTTGCTTTGTACGTTGAAGGCATGCCTAGAGGGATAATTTTCCTAGTAGAAGCAGGAAACAAGTTTTCTCTAAGGAAAACAAATGCCCAATCGAAGCAGGGATCCAGCTTGCATGCAGGTAGCCGTTGCATTTATGAGTCAAGCCAGTATGCAAAGACAATGGTGCAATCGAAGGAGCACTGACAAGAAGCCTTTCCCCTTTGGATCGAAGGAGGCTGTTTTAAAGGTAAAACATGCCCAGTCGAAGCTGGTGTGCAGCAAACAAGCAAAAGACCAAGGCTTTAATTGAAGCTTGGAAATTTTAGGCAAACTTGAAGGAGGTTAGGCGCTCAATCGAAGCCTGTCCAAATACCAATCGAAAAGCCTTTTAACATGTCAATCGAAGGATTTTGTCATAATGCCAATCGAAGACTCCTTGTTTATCTTCAAATTTTTTTATCTTTCCTTTAATCAAATGCTTGTGATCACCATGTAAGAGAAATATCTTGAGAAAATGTGAGAGGGAAAATTTTGGGGCACAATAAGCTCATATCTCTTAAATGATGCACTTTTTGGACTTGAGCTTAGAGAGACAAAGTTGTAGAGAATTGAATTCCCTTCGAAATAAGATTTGGTTGGGGAAAAGCTGATGAAGAATGTGAAAGTTATGCTTGGTCAAAGTTCAATTGACTTATCCTAAGGAAATCCTAATTTGGAAATTTTTAAATTTTGATGATTTGAGGGCTTTTCTTGAGGAATCATGATCAACCATTGATCAAATGATAAATACCACTTTAAAAGGTTGATGTTGATCAAAAATCTTGAAGTTTTACTGTATGTTGACCATAGTTGACTTTGTAACCAATACAATTGATTTTCAGTCATCTGAGCCATTGGCTGAGCAAACTTGTGATACAAGGCTTGAAACTTGATATGAACATTGTTGAAGACCTATGGGGGACCATGAAAACCACTTGAGACATTTGAAACCCAATCTTCCTTGAGAAACACAAAACCCTAGTTGTGGACCCATTGCTTAGGAGGAGAATTTGTCTGATAAATTCTTAGACAACCTTGAGCATTTGAGGACCTTATGAGAATGTCTTGAAGAAAAATGGGAGGGTAAATTTTGGGACACGACACCCTCTTAATAGATCCAAAGTTTAAACAAACAAAGCTCGCATAAGTTCAAATCTCACTACAATAACAATAACAATAATAAAAGAGAACATATTAATACCATGAAGAAAGAGTTTTGTGACTGAACAAGTTGCTTGAGTTTGTACTTTCTGTTCTCAAGCTCAATAAAAGAGTTTAACAAATCAATATCGTTTTTAATATCAGTACAAACTACAAACATATTTAACAAAAATGAAACTAGAAATAAAATCTCAAAATCCCAATCCTATTTCGAAACTTAAACCCAAATCCACTTTACTGATTACTTCAATTTTAGATAATAGCAGAATCGAAAAAGATCGTAGACTTAGAGATGAATTTGATCCATTTGATTCTTTGATCACTTCATCTCATAAATCTCGAAACAAATGTTCAGTTAATGTATATGAATTTCCCATTTGTAAATGGTAGTTTAGATATCAAAATGAGGTTTTTAAACATTGTTAAAAGTTGTTTGAGTAATTCAGTTAGAACTTAAGGAGGAGAATGAAGAGAAATTGACGTTGATTGAGGTTCATACTGATGAGAAAAGAGAAGAAAGAGAAAAGAAAAAGAGAGAAAGAGTGGTGACGACTAGGATTTTGATTAAGAGAAAAAAGAGAGAAAGAGAGTCAGTGCTTAATAAATTAAAGGCTTAAATGCACTTTTGGTCCCCCTATTTTCATGTTTTTAAAGTTTTAGTCCTCCTATTTTAAAAGCCAACTTTCTAGTTCTTAAACTTTACCTCACTTGAGATTTTCATGGTCCTCTTCAATTTTACATACATGACATTGATGATTGGGATAAAAAAATTATTTTTAATTATCTAGAATTAATGACTAGACTTATTTAATAATTAATATTTTTTTAAAGATAAATTAATACTTAATTATTATAAATAAGTTTTTTCAAAATTAATTATTATATAATACTTTTTTTTTAAATAACTGTTTTGGGCCTAAGCCCATCACACTTAAACTTCTTTACTTTTATACTCACATGAAATCAATTAACATTGTTTGAATAAGCTATATAAACCAAGAATGTGACTCTAACATTACCGATATAAAACTTGAACTACATCATTAATGCATTTTTTCTACCAACACACGACTTCCATAAGCAATGCATTTCTCTAACAAACTACTTTACTAATGTAACTGTTCCATGTTCTTGTTCATGTTGATGTTCATGGTATGTTAACATGGATACTAACAGTTTTGAAAGATTTACAAATAGGACAAATATGGAGATTAGATCCATAAACAATACATAAACAAAGATATCTACAAAGCAAAATCAACACAAATGTGGAGTCAGGGTGCTTCCTTGTTAACTTAATGTATATCATTCGTGGTTACAAACGAATATTTAACAACATCACGAAGTTACAAGCAAAAAATAATCTTAGCCATTTTAAAATTGGATGACTCGAATTAAACATTCACCAAATCAACTTTAAATAATCTCTATCATTGATTTAGATTAGAGAAATAAGATCAGCAACCATGTCACATAATTACTGCAGATACTTATCAATTAATGCATTGCTGATGAAGTTAAGTCGCACATTGATAATGTTAGAGTTACGTTCTTGATTTATATAACTTATTTAAACAATTTCAATTGATTACATGTGGATATATAAAAGTAAAGAAGTCTAACTGAGTTGGTTTTAGGCTCAAAAAAATTATTTTAAAATTTTGTAGTATTACATAATAATTAATTTTGAAAAATAATTTCAAAAAAACTTAATTAAAATAATTAAGTATTAATTTATCTATAAAAAAATATTAATTATTAAATAAGTCTAGTCATTAATTTTAGGTAAATAAAAATAATTTTTTTTATCTCAATCACCAATACCACGTATGTAAAATTGGAGAGATCATGAAAATCTCAAATGAGATAAAATTTAGAGACTAAAAAATTAATTTTTAAAATGAGAAAACTAAAACTTAAAAATTATAAAAATAAAAGAATTAAAAATACATTTAAATCTAAATTAAATAATAAAATATTAATAAAACAATTCTATATCAATCATATTAAAACCAGTTGGAATGCCACGTCAACCAAAACTAATAGATTTTGTCAAAATTCAACGGAAATAATCGATATAACTAACGAAAACATAATTTGAAAGACTTAAAAAAAATAATTATTAAATGAGTAAAACCTAAAATTAAGTAAAAAAATCAAAAGATTTATTAAACCTATAAAATAACACAATTTAGAAAAAAGAATTTCTTTGTAAAAGGAAACAAAAGAACATGACAACGAGCACTGTATCTAAGCGGAAAAAGTGAATCTGGTCATCATAAGGGCTATATCGGCATTTCCACACAGACAAATTAGCTCTGCTCATTCATAGATCCACGGTCAGATTGGTCCTGAAAACTGTGACAAAACCTCCCACCCCATTTACTATCTGCCACTCTCACGTGACTTTCCCAATCTATTCTCTCCACGTGCCCCCAAATCAACGGCTATTATCTCTCCTTTTCTCCATCATCTCACGGCTCAAATTCCATGTTCTAGACTCTTCCATTTTCCTCAAGACGGTCAAGCTCCCTAACCACGGTTAGATTTGTTAACCACACTTCACGCGTTGGGTTAAAGAACGTTCTCATTCTCTCTCAGAATCATTTATCCGAAAACGAAGAAGAAGAAAGTGAGAGAGAGAGAGAAAGAGAAAGAGAGGGTTTCGTTTTCGTTGCAGTTCGTAAGTTCTGACCCAACTCGGACGAGTTTTCTCTCATACGATTTTCTCTTCGTTTCTCCCTCGGTTTATCCGAACAATTCGACGGTTAATTCTCTTCGATTGTTCGGATCTAGCATTGGTGAAGCTCAAGCTCAATGGCGTTGTGAAGATTTTCTCTGATTCCGTTGATTTCTTGACGACGTCGTTCAATTTGATCCAATTATCACGCGGTATTGATGATTATTTCTTCTTTCTTTCTTTTTTCTGTGAAATTTTCTTTGTTGGAACTGTATCTGTTTATGAAGAAATTGGAAACACCTAAAAAAAGTAAAAATTTAGATCGAACTTTTTTTTTTTGATTCAAGCTAATAAATTTGTAAACATGTATATAGTTTTTCTATACTAATTTGTTTTTCTTTTATGTTTTTAGAATGTAATTTCAGAGTTTATTAGTTCTGATTTAGTTTGAAATTTGTCTGTGTTATGGTTTTATTTTATTTTAATGTAATTCATAACAGTTAACTTATGAATGCATTGTTTACCATTTTGAATTTATTGTTATTGTATATCTAGAGTATGTTTTTTGTTTTAGAATATTGACCAAGGAGGTTCCTAAGCATGTTGTCTCAGATCCATGTGTTTTATGTGGCGAAGGTGAAGGTATTGTTGAGGGAGATGAAGTCCAATTTGAGGATCTCTATGCCTCAGGATTAATCTCTCTGGCTATCCGTGGCGAAACGAAAACATTACGGGTGATTTATCATTGAGCTTATAATCTAATTTTAAACATTTTATATAGATTTGATCTGAATTTGAAGTAATTAATTAGGTGATGAAATAATACTTGTAAAAGAAAAGGTGATGAAGTAGTAAAATTAATGGTATTTGAATCCGTAGACACCATTATTAAAACTGAACAGTGTGTTAAATCTGTGAGTTTTTTAGACATCATTATTGACTGTAGTTGTGAGTACTTTGAGTTGTAATTTAATTGATCTGTTGCCCGCTGTTAATGATTTTACAATTTTCTTTTGTGTTATTCTTGCAGAATTAAGTTTATTATGCTTGAGATTTGTATTGTTATGCTGAGAATTTTGATAGAATCTTTATGAATTTGCAGTTTTTTGTTGTCCTGCGAGCCTTGTTTCTTGATGGCCTCAATGTAGCTGTCAGCTAGTGTCTATCTCCAATCTTGCCTCAGTCCTTCATTTCTGTTGCTCAACTAGTGCGGTTTAATACTTTTGTCAACATTAATGATCGTTGGGGATCTAGAGATTGGTTTCATACAAGTGTCATTGGCTCTGGAGTTTGGCGACTTCTTGGGACAGAAGAAGCTTTATTCCACTGCCACCTCTGCTGCCCTTAGCAAACATTACCCAATCCTAGCCCCAGCACATGTCTCGTAAATCAGACAGTCCTGTTCAAACCCAGATGGCTGTTGCTTTATTCCGTAGTCCACTAGGTAGGGAGTACCTTGAGAGTAAGAGAATGGAAGGGAGGCAACCTTCTGGCAAGAGAAGGGTTTTTGTGCAAACTGAAACTGGGTGTGTCTTGAGCATGGAATTGGACCGAAGTGACAATGCACATACTGTGAAGAAGAGGTTGCAGATTGCCCTTAATGTCCCAACTGAAGAGAGCTCTCTTACTTTTGGGGATGTTGTCTTGAAGAATGACCTTAGTTATGTTCGGAACGATACTGCCCTTCTTCTTACACGTAACCTTATGCATCGAAGTTCATCCACTCCATGCCTCTCACCCACTGGGCGAGATATGCAGCAAAGTGACAAGAGTGGTCCTATTGAGATATTAGGGCAACCAAGTAACCTGGATATAATGAAGCATATGGTCAAGGACATTGTGAAGGCAATGAAGATTGGGATAGAACCAATTCCAGTTCATGGTGGGCTTGGGGGTGCATATTATTTCCTGAACAGAAGAGGCGAGAGTGTTGCAATTGTGAAACCAACAGATGAGGAGCCTTTTGCCCCAAACAATCCAAAAGGTTTTGTTGGAAAAGCTCTTGGACAACCTGGTTTGAAACGTTCCGTTCGGGTTGGTGAAACCGGCTACAGGGAAGTTGCAGCTTATCTTCTTGATTATGGTCATTTTGCCAGAGTACCTGCAACTGCCTTAGTGAAGATTACTCACTCAATATTCAATGTCAATGATGGAGTCAATGGGAAAAACATTCAGAAGAAGAAGCTGGTTAGCAAGATTGCATCTCTGCAGCAGTTCATACCTCATGATTTTGATGCAAGTGACTATGGGACATCTAGCTTCCCTGTTACTTCTGTGCATCGTATAGGGATATTAGACATTAGGATTCTTAACACAGATAGACACGGTGGCAATTTGTTAGTTAGAAAAGTCGGGGCTTTTGGTGAAGTGGATTTAATTCCTATTGATCACGGGCTTTGCCTGCCAGAAGCTTTGGAGGACCCATACTTCGAGTGGATTCATTGGCCTCAGGCTTCAATTCCATTCTCGGAGGATGAGCTTTCTTACATAAAAAATCTCAATCCTGCTCGTGACTGTGAGATGTTACGAAAGGAACTGCCTATGATTCGCGAGGCCTGTTTGAGAGTGTTATTACTCTGCACCATTTTCCTCAAGGAGGCTGCTGCATATGGTCTGTGCCTTGCTGAAATTGGTGAGATGATGACTAGGGAATTCCGCAGTGGTGAGGAAGAACCCAGTGAACTGGAGGTTGTTTGTTTGGAAGCAAGAAAGTTGTTGGCAGAGAAGGAAGAACTATCTCCTAGGACTGACCTGGAAGATGATGAATTCCTGTTTGATATAGACTGTGATGCAGCTGGGTCAGAAATTGGTATGAAGATGACAATGGACAATTCTCTCACTAGAGCACCTTTTCAGCCTGGACATGGAGGTGGGTATGGTCGTAACCCATTTTCCAAATTGTACGAGAGCATTGAGGAGGAGGAGGAAGAAGAAGGTGGTGGAAAATATCATGATGTTGTCACTTTTCCTCTTCACCAAAAACTCCCAAAGGTTTCTGAAATTTCTGTGTCACTGAAAAACATCATGTTAAGTGAGTCAAGCAAGAAACACCAGAACCATTCAGGAGGAAAAGCAGATAATGGCCATTACGGGAACACATCATCTGGTCGTAGGAGCGCCAACGAGAAGCTTCCTGCAAGCATAAGCTTTGTGAGCATGGCAGATATGATTGAAGATCAATGGACAATGTTTCTAGAGAAGTTTCAAGAACTGTTGTACCCGGCATTTTCCAAGAGGAAATCCATAACCATAGGTCAAAGGCAGATACAGAGGCTTGGTACCTCGTGCCAGTTTTGAAGTTGAGCAATACTTCGGTATGATAGATAGAGCACTATAGATCGAATAATAAGGGTTTATAGGTTGTTGTTAGGTTGATTCTGGTTTATGATATTTGAATAGGTGCCGGAAGAACTTCTGTAGATATGCTTGTATTTTGATTTCATTTTTTATTTCTTTTTTTCCCTCTGGAAGGCTTGTCTGATAAATAACTTGTAGGATAAATTTGTGAAATGAAATGAAACTTATATGTATATAAATGAAAGCCTTTGTTTCCTTTTTGATTTGATTACTTCATATACTTCAATATCTTGTTACATTAATGCATTACTCTATGTATTATGCGGTCTGTATTTTGTTTCTGCTGAAGCAGGTGTTCAAAAGGTATGATTCTGGCTGAGATTGAGTTTTCTCTAAGGCAAATATTATAATGGAAAAGTGAATTATTATTATATAGATAAGTGATAACAGCATCACTATATGCTTGCAAACTGTTTATTTAGACTTAAATGAAAGTAATCATGATTTGTAGATAAATGATATGATGCATTTAATCACTTTATTATAAAGCAGCAGCATGGTGGGGTTAGAGGAATCGACATGTGGTATTCTCTTATGAATTTGGAGCCCATCTAAATCATGAAAACTATTTTTTGTTGGCATATTGTGAGATCATACTGCTTCCAAGTTGCTCAGGCTAAACATGCCGTAGGTAATTATTTGTATTTATGAGTCACATACATTTGTCACCAATGTTTTCATAATTAGCTGTCATCCATATTCTCCATTATTTTTTTTCTGTCGTCTCAACAAATACAACTTCTTTTGCGGTGCAATCAAAGTATGTAGAATAATTACTTTTTCTTTTTGATATTATCTGGGTGACTTTTGACATTTGTTCCGTTCTGAAATTTTTACCTTATTAAGTGGGGCGGTTATATATATTATTTTTTTTGCCATAACATTCTATGACTCTTTTTTTTTTACTTCATTAATCTTAAAATAACTTCTTTTATAAGTCTTTGTCTATCTTTAGTTGTTTGATTTTTCTTGCAAGATCTACTCTTCTTACTCTACAATTTACATGTCTCCTCTCTAGTTTATATTGGAACATGTCCATGTTCCAATATGTTGAATTTAAAAATTTCTCAAGTCCCACATTGTTAGAATATCTTTTTGGTTGAAAAAACAATTTAGTCCCACATTGCTCGTGTGAGAAATATTAACTATATTATTTTACTATATAAGAAGTGCACATATTTCATTCCAAATAACACAAAAAACTATTCTCTTAGTTTTTTCTTCCTCACTCTCATAACTCTGCGTCTCTCGAATTGTCGAAGCGCCATCTTCTTCCCATTTCTTCCTACTCGTTGAATTTTCTGAGTATTTTCTTGAATTCTCTTTAGAAAATTATGTTAATTTCTCCTCATTTGAGTTGAGAAATTTTCAAGTTTAATCTTTTTGGATTCTCTTTGAAAAATTATTTGAATTTCTCTTTGTTGGAGAAATTATTATGAGTGGTCAAATGACCATTATTAATTTCTCTTTGAGAATTATTTGAGTTTCTTTTTGTTTTAAGAAATTATTATGACTGGTCTTTGTACCAGATACTACGAGTGATGTTGATACCATATTTGAATGGTCTTGTACCATCAGAGAGTGTATTTTTAGACCAATTATCTAGCATGCAAGTAGTAATCGTACAGTATAGAACTGAGTTGTTTTATCCTGGAGGCGGCGCGGTAGTTTGACTGCTTTGCATAATTTTGAGCAGTGCCGCGAAACGTCTTAAAGAGAGTGACCTAGTCCGCGACTCAACCTGGTAATTTTTTCGGTGGCAAATGTTTTTAAAATCCAAAAATCAACAATTTTAAGACGTTTCAAACTGCCATGGCTACCGAAGAAATTATTGGTTCTTTTGCGGATATTGTGTTTGAGAAATCGTTCATGTTTGAGAGAAGTCACTTCAAACGTTGGCAACAAAAGATGAAGTTCTTAACGTTGAAAAAAATTGTTAACGTTCTGATCAATGACATCCTGTTGCTCCTTCTGAAACAATCGAACAAATTAACGGTAGTAAATCTGGAGACTTAGAAGGAACACTTAATAGTGTTGAAGTTGAATCTGCTGCACAGATTAAAGCGGATGATTTACAGCATAGTAAAGAAATCACCTTATAGAAAGAGAATGAAAAAATCTACAAAATCATATTTTGAATAAACTCGCATATGATCTGTATGATAATTACAGTTGATGTGATACTGCAAAACAAGATTGAGAAACTTAGAAAAAGAAGTATGACGTAGAAGCTGAAGCAAAGAAGTATGTTTTTAGCCGCTACTTCAAGTATCAAATGCAAAGATGTAAGGTCGATGAAGGCTCAATGTTACGAACTTCAAAAGATTGCTTAAAAGATCATCACAAAAGGTATGTGTTTAAATGAACAATTTAAAATTGGTTTTATTATTGACAAACTATCCCATAGTTTGAATGTTTAAAAAAAAATAAAAAGGGAATCTTAGAGACAATATCAAAAAGAAAAAGTCTTGGTTGTTTCAAACAACAAAAAGAAATTTGGTGTAGTTCTGAAGCCATTTGGCAAATGATTAAAGAATCAGAACTGCAATATTGTGAACCGAATAAAGAATGAGAATCCTTCTATGATCCCAATAGCTTCAACTAGGCAACAACCACCACCTAAAAGAGATGACGTTGGTTTCCCTTTGTTTTAATATGGAAAATCAAATCATATGACTAAGAAATGTAGAAGTAAGCTTGAACTTGGTGTTGTCCCTAATGCACAAGTCAATCTGACTAATGGGAAATTTATTGTTATGGCCATTGAAATCAACATGGGTGATGGATATGTTGGTTGGTGAATAGACACATGCGTCTCTCGTTGTGACTGTTATGACCGTGTTATGTTTAAACATACACGAATACTAAAAATAAGAAAGTGTTGTTGGGAGTGGCCAGACCACGAATGTTGTTGGAATTATATACATAGAGCTAATTTTCACCTTCAAAAAGACTTTAATCTTAAGGAACGTTATGCATGTTCGTAAGATTAGAAAGAATATTGTTTCTGGTTTTCTTTTAAATAAGACATGGTTTAGTCAGTCTATTGGGGTAGATTTATACGCCATTACGAAGAATGAAGTTTATATGTTTAAAATTTTTGTAAAGAATTTGAAAATGATATAATAAGAATTTATAGTGATAGAGAAACTGTACGAGTCTAGTTTATTAATGAATTTTATATATGAAATTGTACATGAAACGACTGCACCATACTATCTTGCAATGAATGGTAAAATAGAAAGAAAGAATAGAACTTTTACTGAACATGTTGTTGCAATTATGATGAATTCTGATGCTGCTCCTCACTGGTGGGGGAAATTTTATTGACTGTTTGCTATGTCCTGAATAGAGTTCCCAAGTCAAAATGTAAGATCTCTCCTTATGAGATATTAAAGAAAAGACAATCAAACTTGTCTTATTTGAGAACTTGGGGTTGTCTGACTTATGTCAGAATTCTGGATCCGAAACAAGTTAAACTCGTTTGTAGAGCATATGAATGTGTTTTCATTCGGTATGCAGCAAATAGTAAAGCATATAGGTTTTATGATCTAAAGGTAAAAGTGATCATAGAATCAACTGATGTTGAATTCTATAAAGACAAATTTCCTTTCAAATTGAGAAATAGTGGGGGCACACAATCGAGTAACATTTCTGTGATAAGAAACACAGAAAGCAACAACAATGTAAAAATAGAACTTCGACGAAGTAAACGAGTAAGAGTTGCTAAAGACTATAGGCCTGATTATGCGGCTTATAATGTAGAAGAAGAACCAATGAATCTTTAAGAAGCCTTGTCATCTCTGGATGTTTAGTTATGGCAAGAAGCTATCAATGATGAGATATAATATCTAGAATCTAACAAGACCTGACACTTAGTAGATTTGCCTCCTGGTTGCAAACCAATCGGTTGTAAATGAGTTTTGAAAAAGAAACTAAAACCTGATGAAACTATTGATAAATATAAGGTTTACCTTGTTGCCAAGGGTTTTAAACAAAGAGAAAATATATATTTCTTCGACACCTTTTCGCCTGTCACTAGAATTACATCTATTAGGGTACTTATTTCAATAGCTGCTATTTATAACTTAATAGTACACCAAATGGATGTTAAAACAACTTTTTTAAACGGTGACGTAGAAGAAGAAATCTATATGAAACAACCGGAAGGGTTTGTGATCTATGGATAAGAAAACAAGGTTTGTAAGTTAGATAAGTCTTTGTGTGGGCTAAAACAAACTCCAAAGCAATGACATGTAAAGTTTGATAACTTAATGATATCGAATGTGTACAAAGTGAATGAAAGTGACAAATACGTTTATTACAAATTTGAGAATTGTATTTGCACTATCATATGTATATATGTAGACGATCTACTCATATTTAGATCAAACATTCAGGCCATTAATGATATGACATCGTTGTTGTGCAACAACTTTGATATGAAAGACCTCGGAGAAGTGAGTGTGATTCTTGGTATCAAGATCACAAAATTCGAGCAAGGAATTTATTTGGATCAATCACAATATGTGAAAAAGATTTTAAAGAAATAGAATTACTTTGACAGTAAACCTGTGAGCACACCAAATGATCCAAACGTGAAGCTGTTTAAGAACACTGGTGAAAGTGTTAGACAAACAGAACATGCGAGCATCATTGGAAGTCTTAGGTATTCCATTGATTATACTAAACCTGACATTGCATATGTCGTGGGATTGTTGTGCGGGTTTACTAGTAGATCGAGTAATGAATATTGACAAGCTATTGAGCGAGTCATACGGTACCTTAAAAGGACCATGAATCTTGGTTTACATTATCAGAGATTTCTTATTGCACCTGAAGGACACAATGATGCAGATTGGAATATCTTATCAGATGATTCCAAAGTAACTAGTGGCTATGTATTCAACATAGCTAGAGGAGTTGTATCTTGGAAATTA